AGCTATTATATATGATACTTTTAATGTATTGTTGAATTCAGTTTGCTAATATTTTGTTGAGGATTTTTGCATCTGTATTCATCAGTGATATTGGCCTGTAATTTTCTTTTTATGTGGTGTCTTTGTTTGGTTTAAGTATCAGAATGATATTGGCTTCATAGAATGAGTTTGGAAGCATTCTGTCCTCTTCTTTTTTTTTTTTTTTTTGGAGCAGTTTGAGAATGATCAAAGATAACCTTTCTCTAACTGTTTGGCAGAATTCACCTGTGAAGCTGTCTGGCCCTGAACTTTTGTTTGTTGGGGGTTTTTAAATTACTGATTCAATTCCATCACTGGTAATTGGTCTGTACATATTTTCTATTTCTTCATGATTCATTCTTGGGATACTGTATGTTTCTGGGAATTTATTTCTTCTAAGTTGTCCATATTATTGGTGCATAGTTGTTTGTAGTAATCTCTTATAAGCCATTGTGTTTCAGTGGTGTCAGTTGTAACTTCTTTTCTTTCATTTCTGATTTTATATATTTGAGCCCTCTCTCTTTTTTTCTTGATGAATCTGGATAAAGTTTTATCAATTTTGTTTATCTTTTCAAAGAACCACCTCTTAGTTTCATTAATCTTTCATGTTTTTATTTTTTGGTCTTTATTTCATTAATTTCTTCTCTGATATTTATGATTTTTTTCCTTCTATTAACTTGGGGTTTTGTTCTTCTTTTTCTAGTTCTTTTAGATGTAAGGTTAGATTGTTTGAGATTTTTCTCATGTTCTAGGGAAGGATTGTACCTCCATAAATTTCCCTCTTAGAGCTGCTTTTGCTGTGTCCCATAGGTTTTGGGTCATTGTGTTTTCATTCTCATTTGTCTCTAGGTATTTTTTTGATTTCCTCTTTGATTTCTTCAGTGATCCATTAGTTGTTTAATAGCATATTCTTTAGCCTTCCCATGTTTGTGTTTTTTGCAGTTTTTTCTCATAATGTTGTGATTGGAAAGATGTTTGATATGATTTCAATCTTATTAAATTTATTGTTTTGTGGCCTAGCATGTGATCTATCCTGGAGAATGTTCCACATGCACTTGAAAAGAATGTGTATTCAGCTACTTTGGGATGAAATGTACTCTGTGTATCTATTAACTCCATCTGGTTTAATGTGTCATTTAAGGTCAGTGTTTTCGTATTGATCTTCTGTCTGGATGATCTGTCTTTGATGTAAATGGGGTGTTAAAGTCCTCTACTGTTATTGTGTTACTGTCAATTTCTCCCTTTATGTCTGTTATTATTTGCTTTATATATTTAAGTGTTCTTACAATTGTTTTATCTTCTTTTTGGATGGATCTTCTTTTGGATGGATCATTATGCACTGTCCTTCCTTGTCTCTTGTTACAGTCCTTGTTTTAAAGTCTATTTAGTCTAAGTATTGCTACCTGGCTTTCTTTTGATTTCCATTTGAATGGAATACCTTTTCCATCTCCTCACTTTCAGTCTGTATGTGTCCCTAGATCTGAAGTGGGTCTCTTGTAGAGTCTTGTTTTTGTATCCATTCAGCCACCATATATCTTTCAATTGGAGCATTTAGTCTATTTACATTTAAAGTAATTATTAATAAATATGTATTTATTACCATTTGTTCATTGTTTTCTGGTTGCTTTTGTAGTTCTTTTTCGCTCCTTTCTTCTTTTGCTCTCTTCCCTTGTGACTTGATGGCTATCTTTATGTTATTTTGGGTTCCTTTCTCCTTTTTTTGTGTGTGTATATATTATTTTTGGTTTGTGATTACCATGAGTTGTGTATATCTGTGTCCATATTTTTTTTTTTTCTCACAGTGGGCATTTTATTTTCCCACTTTTTGCTGACCAACTTCTGTGCATCTTCCTATGTTTGTGGACTACACCACCTTTGAGGTGGAAATCTCCTTTCATATACAGATTTTTTTTAATTGAAGTATAATTGCTTTACAATGTTGCGTTATTTTCTGCTGTACACCGAGGTGAATCAGCTATATGTATAGCCCTCCCTCTTGGACCTCCTTCCCACCCATCCCCCATCCAACCCATCTAGGTCATCACAGAGCACCAAGCTGACCTCCTCATGCTATAACAGGTAAAGATAGCAGGTTCCCACTAGCTAGCTATTTTACACATAGTAGTGTATATACGTCAATCCTAATCTCCCAATTCATTCCACCCTTCCCTTCCCCACCATGTCCACCTGCCCATTCTCTACGTCTGCATCTCTATTGCTGCCCTACAAATAGGTTCATCTGTACCATTTTTTTAGATTCCACATATATGTGTTAATATACAACATTTGTTTTTCTCTTTCTGACTTACTTCACTCTGTATGACAGACTCTAGGCCCAACCACATCTCTACAAATGACCCAATTTCATTCTTTTTATGGATGAGAAATATTCCATTTACATTTAGCCCATTTACATTTAAAGTAATTATTTTTTAAATTTTTAAAAATTTTATTTTTTGGCTGAGTCACGTCTTAGTTGCAGCATGTGGGATCTTCATTGAGGCATGTGGGCTTCTCTCTAGTTGTGGCGTGAGAGTTTTCTCTTATCTAGCTGTGATGCATGGGCTCCAGAGTACATGGGCTCTGTAGTTTGTGGCACACAGGCTCTCTAGTTGAGGTGCATGAGCTCAGTAGTTTTGGCATGCATGCTCAGTTGCCCCATGGCATGTGGGATCTTAGTTCCCTGACCAGGGATCAAACCCGAGTCCCCTGCATTGTAAGGCAGATTGTTTACCACTGGACCACCAGGGAAGTCCCTAAAGTAATTATTGATAAATATGTATTTATTACCATTTGTTCACTGTTTTCTGGTAGTTTTTGAAGTTCTTTTTTTTTCCTTTCTTCTTTTGCCCTCCTCCTTTGTGATTTGATGGTTATCTTTATGTTTTTTTTGGTTTCTTTCTCCTTTTTTGTGTGTGTATCTATTATAGGTTTTTGGTTTGTGATTACCATGAGTTGTGTGTCTCTACATATATATTTTTTTAATTTGAATATCTCTTAAGTTTGAAAGCATTCTAACAAACCTGCATTTGTACTTCTGCCACCCTTTCATGTTTAATGGTTTTGATATATTTTACATCTGTTTGCTTTTTGAATCCCTTAACTCCTTATTGTGAATTTAGATATTTTACTACTTTTGTCTTATATACATGGTTGATCTACTAGCTTTACTGTGTGTTTGGACTTTTCCTTTCATAATTTTTATATTTCTGGTTGTGGTCTTTTCTTTTCCACTTAGAGAAGTCCCTCTAACATTTCTTGTAAAGTTGGTTTAGTGGTGCTGAGCTCTTTTACCTTTGCTTGTCTGTAAACCTCTATACCTACTTCAAATCTGAATGATAGCCTTGCCAGGTGGAGTAATTTTGGTTGTAGGTTTTTTTCCATTTATTACTTTGAATATATTCTGCCACACCCTTCTGGCCTGCAAAGTTTCTGCTGAAAAGTCAGCTGATAGTCTTATGGGAGTTCCCTTGCATGTAACTAGTGGTTTTTCCCTTGCTGTTTTTAAGATTCTCTTTTATCCTTAATTTTTTCTATTTTAGTTATAATGTGTCTTGTTGTGGACCTCTTGGGGTTTATCTTGTTTTGGACTCTCTATGCTTCCTGGACCTGGATGACTGTTTCCTCCCCCAGGTTAGGGAAATTTTCAAATATTACTTCCTTAAATAAATTCTTTGCTGGTTTCTCTCTTTTTTCTCCTCTGAGACCCCCTATAATGCAAATGTTAGTATGCTTCATGTTGTCCTAGAAGTCTCCTAAGCTATCCTCATTTTTAAAATTCTTTTTTCTTTTCTCTATTCAGCTTGGGTGATTTCCACTATGCTGTCTTCCTTAAACGTTTGGTAGAATTAACCAGTGAACCAATCTGGGCCTGGTGTTTTCTACTTTGAAAGGTGAATTATTCATTAAATTTCTTTAATAGCTATCGATCTATTCATATTGTCTATTTCTCCTTATGTGAGGTTTGGTAGGTTGTGTCTTTCAAGGAATCAATCCATTTTGTTTAGGTTATCATATTTGTGAGCATAGCGTTATTCATAATATTTGTTCATTATCATTTTAGTGTCCACGGAATCAGTAGTGATGACCCGTCTTTCATTTCTGATATTAGTATTTTGTGTTCTCTATCTCTCTCATTGCTGCTGCCCAGCATCACAGGACAGAGTGAATATCATACAGTGTATCACTAGCCTGGGGAAAGATCAAAATTCAAAATTAGTAGTATGGTTTCTACTGAATGTGTACCACTTTTGCACCATCATAAAGATGAAAAATTGTAAGTCAAACCATCATAAGTCAGGAACCGTGTGTGTGTGTGTGTGTGTGTGTGCGTGTGTGTGTGTGTGTGTGTGTAATTTTTAGCCAGGAGAAAATTATGCAAAACTAATGTTGTCTTTCAGGCTGAACAATTTAGGGTAACATCTGTTTTCTCATCTAACTTAGTATAATCAGGAGACAGGTTGGGGACCAATAATTTTTTTCTCTACTTTTCATTTGGTGTGGGGTACTAAAATTTAGAAGACCAATTATATACAATTCTTACAAAATTTAAACATGGATTTTTGATTTAATAAAAGCTAGCTAGGAAAGGTCATCTGTTGTTTAACTCAGATTCACCAGTCACATTTTTTTCTCTGAATTTACCTGGAAGATATTTAATATGAAAACCATATATTTGAGGAATTTTTTAAAAACTTCTGTTTTATGACTAACAAATCACCTGACTTTTACACTTTTACATTACATAGAAAGGAAACGTAGTTTGGTATCATTTTCCCAGTTATAATGTAAGCTGTTTTACTTATTGAGTGTCTATAAGAAAATAAATCCTAAGATACTTTCTGATTTAAAATTAGCTATTTGAGGTTTATTCACTTCATCTATTTCATAAATAATTAATATTAAACAACTGTTTAACATAATAGAGTAAGAAGTTGTGAACTGATACATACAGAATGTTGAAGACTAATTTTTTTTTATAGGCAGAACTTCTAGATGCTGCTGCTGGCATTAATGTACGATTCAGATTAGGTGGTGTAAGTATGGATAAATTCTTATTTAGTACTTTTAAAGCACATTTACATGAAATTTAAAAGATGTAATTTTAAAAAACATAAACCATTTTTCTAATTAAATTGAAATGGTCCTTTGAACTTTTCCAACTATAGGTTAAATTTCCACCTGAAATATACTATAAAATTTTCACTCACAGACATATTGAAGATCTGTGTGCTAATAGTCCTAGAGATTACACAAAACTTCCAGCAAAACATACATCTCATATTAAAAGTGATAATCTTCAGGAAGAGGATTATAGTGGCTGGTATCATCGTACAGAGAACAATGGCTGGAGGCCTGTTTCTGATAAAGTAAGAAAAGATAAACATTAATAATTTTGAATATTATGTGCTTACAAACCTATCTGTCTTTCTGAAAATTAATTTTTAGATTATTTTTTAAAATAATAAATCCTACTAATTTAACTGATAAAATTTGCTTAACTATTCTGTGGTTACTAATATACTTCAAGATACAGCAATATATCTTTTTTTTTACATTTACTTCTACTTTTAATAGTCATCTTTGAATCTAGGCTATCTTTAGATACTCTCTGGCATTCAGCTATTACCCATCTTTATAACAAAGCAAATCTGAAGATGTTGTTGACTCTAT